TAATCTTAAAAAACTGCAAAAAAAAATTACTCCTCTGATTTGGATACTGACCTCACATAACACGCACACCATCTTGCAACAATTTAAGAATTACGGCTGAGCGCGACGGCTCACACCTGTAATTCCAGCGCTTTGGGAGGCCAAGGTAGGCGGATCACCTGAGGCCAGGAGTTCAAGACCAGCTGGACCAACATGGCGAAACCCAGACTCTACCAAAAATACAAAAATGAGCTGGGTGTGTTGATGCATACCTGTAATACCAACTACTCGGGAAGCTGAGACATGAGAATTTCTTGAACCCAGGAGGCAGAGATTTCAGTAAGCCAGATCATATCACTACACTCCAGTCTGGGTGACAGAGCAAGACTCTGTCTTAAAAAAAAGAAAAAAGAAATACATGGAAGAAACTCAAACCACAACACCTAGAAGAAAATGTAGACATTTAGCACATTTGAAGCTGAGAAAAAGACTTCTGAACAAAAAAGCAAGAGAAAAGCATTTCATTGACAAATAAACGTGGGAAAGACATCCATGTAGAAGACATCAACAAAATAATAACACACACACAAAAAGGAAAAATATTTGCAAGAAATACAACAGTCAAAAAGCCTGACATAAAGGAGCAAACAAATCCATAAGAAAACACCCACTTTTCAGTAAAATAAGTGTAAAAGCACATGGAATGAATACTTTCCAAAGAGAAAATACAAATGGAATATAAAAAGTTAAACATTAATCTCCATAATAATAATAAATCAAGTTAATACAAGACCATTTTGTCTATAATATTAGCAAAGATTTTTTAAAAAGCTTGATAAGGAAAAGCTATGAGGAAGATCAGCACTTTCTACACTTGTACAAGAGAACACTGGCACAGCCTTTTTAGAAAGCAGTTTTGTAATGTTTATCAAACGCTTTTAAAATAATGTAGGGGCCATCCTTGGCCCTCTGAAAGTTCACTGAAAAATCAACTCGCAAAAGGTGGATTAATAGGAGAAAAGGCATGCAAATTTATTTAATGTGTATACATGGGAGTCTTTAGAAGGAAGACCCAAAGATATAGAGGAAATCGTTCATTTTTATGTATAGGTTTAACAAAGTATGGACAGCCGTGCAGAAATATAATTGGACAAAAGGGTATGCTCTAATGCTAATAGCCTGAGTGGCGAAACCCAGCAAGGTCTGTCTGTCTAGATTCTTCTTGGCCTCTCTGGGCATGCATTCCTTCCTTCCGGGTGTGGGGTAGGACCCGTTCTGGAATGGGAGTGTTATGACATACAGTTAAACAAGGTAGGCCAGATAACTTTTTCATGGCCACTTTTCACACAAATAGGGCAGAGGGAAAATTAGAGTAATATTTCTAGGTTTTATGATTAGCCCTGGGGAGAAAGGGTCCTGGTTTCTACGACCTGCCTTGGGGAAGAAGGATTCTAGTTTCTATGGCTTGCCTCAGGAAAAAATGAGACTGAGAGACAAGAGAGCAGGAGGAAGTCAGAGAAAAACTTTTGTTGTAGAGGCTGCTTCTGGGGCCTCCAGTTTGGGGTATTGTTTTTCAGGCCCCAACACTGGTCACTTTCTTTAGCTCAGTGATTTAATTTCAAATCATTTATATCTAAGGGGAAAAAACCCAAAATGTAGACAAAGAGTTCATGTAGAAAGAGTTCATTTCAGAGCTATTGTTTTAAAAAACTAAAAAAGAAAGTCAAGGGAAGGTTAAGTATATCAAGGTATATCCATGCAATTGAATGTGCAGTGACAGTGACAAATAGTGTTTGCAGTGAGTTTCTTGGATGACACAATCAAAAACCAATGGTCTGTTAAATAAGGAAAAAAGATGTAGTAAAAAAATGCTGAAAAGAAAAATTATAAGGAAATATGACAAAATGTTTATAGTAGTTGTTTCTAGTAAGAGTTGAGTGATTATTATTATTATTATTATTATTTTTTGAGACGGAGTCTCACTCTGTTGCCGAGGCTGGAGTGCAGTGGCACTGTGTCAGCTCACTGCAACCTCCGTCTCCTGGGTTCAAGCAACTCTCCTGCCTCAGCCTCCTGAATAGCTGGGATTACAGATGCCCACCACCACACCCGGCTAGTTTTTATATTTTCAGTAGAGATAGGGTTTCACCATGTTGGCCAGGCTAGTCTTCAACTCCAGACCTCAGGTGGTCCACCCACCTCAGCCTCCCAAAGTGCTGGGATTACAGGCGTGAGCCACCGTGCCCGGACAATTATTTTTATTTTTTGTAGTTTGCAAATTATCTACAATTACATATAGTACTCACACTTGGGGAAAATAAATTTAAATTTAACATATAAAGTTTAGATCATGGATAGAGGCAGAAATGTTTTAAAGAAAAAGAAAAAAGTCATCTCATATGAATGAGCAAATAATGAGCACAAAGTTCCAAACTTTCTGGTGAGAGAAAAGGCTTTATTGCTTGGTTTCTCAGCTGAGCTGTTCAGTGGCATTGATGTTCCTGTGACCTGGAAGCTGTAGAGAGTTCTCGAAAGGACACGTCATAAACCGATCATCGTCTCCAAACGGACAAACTAACTTTTCAGGCAAGAATATGAGGAAACAATTTGAGGCTAGTGAGGATTTTAAAATAATATGAAAATAATATGACTCATAAGAACCAAAATAATGTTTAGAAATGGTGAAGAAATGGCTACCCAATACTATAAATGTTGCTGCTTGAAAAGTGATCTTTAAAAATTAATAAATTCTCCAAGGAAAACATGGAACTTTGAGTTGCAAAATAATTGAAAGAAGGTAATAGAGCTAATGAAATCAGATTTTCCCCTGGGTTTGTAAGAGATGAGGACCTTTCCTAGTCTCACTCTTCTGGGTGAGGCCCATTAGAGAAGAACCGATAGACTCCATGTTGTGTGAGGTTGAGCGGCCTGGCTGAACACTTCTTCTATCCATTCCTGAACTCACAGGACTTCAAAGTTTAAACTTGAATAGCTATCAAACTTCCTTTGTAAAAACTAATCTTAGGCTGCTCAACCCTACTTTTTTTTTTTGAGACAGAGTCTTGCTCTGTCTCCCAGGCTGGAGTGCAGTGGCCAGATCTCAGCTCACTGCAAGCTCCGCCTCCCGGGTTTATGCCATTCTCCTGCCTCAGCCTCCCGAGTAGCTGGGACTACAGGCGCCCGCCACCTCGCCCGGCTAGTGTTTTTGTATTTTTTGGTAGAGACGGGGTTTCACCGTGTTAGCCAGGATGGTCTCGATCTCCTGACCTCGTGATCCGCCCGTCTCGGCCTCCCAAAGTGCTGGGATTATAGGCTTGAGTCACCGCGCCCGGCCAACCCTACTATTTTTTAACATTAATTATTAATTCCAAAAAAATCGATAATATAAAAAGATAAGAAATAATCTATATATTTTGCAACTGGAGATTGGTTAAAGCATGGTATTTCCAGAATGGTGAATACTATGATTATGTTCAGCACGGACCATAAACTTAAATGCCTACAGAGACTACGTAGGTAACATAAATGAGTGTAGTGGACCTGTATTGGAACTCGGGAGCAATAGAGATTGAAGATTTGAAGGGTGGATACTTCATCTACAGAAAGCAGCAGCTATTTGATTGTAGTCAGTTGTTGGCCTTCTGGAAATGTGGGTGCAGTACTGTCAGACCTTCCTATTTTTAAAATACTTTTATTCCGAAATAATTTCAAATTTACTAAAAGTTGCAAAAATAAGACATAACAAAAGAATACCCATGCACCTTACCTACATTCTTTTATTTAATTTTGCAGTCCATTTGAATTCTCTCTGTACACATGTACATACACACACACACACACACACACACACACACATTTTTTTCTGAACCATTTGAGGATATGTTGTGTATTTCCTTTAACTAGAACCCTGAAACCTACTATTCTTGAGCTGGGACACCTCGAGTGGGATGAAGAGATGGCATGAGGAAGTCCTCTCCCCCTGGCCACTAAGGGACAGTCAGTCAGGTGCTACCCCCAAACAGAGCTGTGACACCAAACAGAGGTTGAAAACCATTGCACTAGACAATTGTCATTTCACCCATAAAAATAATACCGCCAATATATGCATATTTATTTATAAATTAGATTTATGTACAAGTCTACTAACATATTATGTGTCTTATAAAACATATACTTAAAAAAGGATGAGATGAAATTGGATATTAATACAAATACAATATTGAAATTTTCTTCCTATACCCCAAGGGAACATCTTGCATTCTCTAAGGCATGTGCCTCCCAACCTTGGGGGCTATTGCTCTACACTGTGGGGGTTAAACAGGAAAAAGACCACCATGATTTCCAAATCTGAGTCTGGGTTCTGCTCCCTGATGTATCTCCTTCACATCAGCCTGCTCTATCTATCACAACATACTACTTTTTTTGCCTTCCTGGCACTTATCACCACTGGCAGTCATCTTGCCCATCTGTGTGTTCACTTGTCCAACACCTTTTTCCCCTGACTAGAATACAGCTTCCTGAGAGGCAGGATCTTGACTGACTTGTTCATTCCTAATTTCTCAGTATCTAGAACAAGGTATGGCACATAGTAGGTACTTGTTAGATGCTTGTTAATACATGGGACTAAACATATCCCTAGTTCCTATCCCAGCTTTTCCCCCACTGTTTTGCCCTCCATTCTTCCAGCAGGCAACAGGACAAGTCCCCTGACCCCCTGCAGGAAGCTAACAATACCCTAGCCTACTTCTAAGCAAAACTTCACAGCTTCAAAGACCTTCCATGGAGGGGGATGGGCTGAGGACAATCTTGTTCTTCATGTAAAACACGGGCCCACAATCTCAAATTTATAATTTACAAATATATATCCTTACAATATCTCTAAAGGCATTTATTTTTCTTAAAAATCATGTATTTGTAAGCTGAATTATCACTTTAACACAAAAGCTATCATTCTTGCTCACTGGAGTCAGGTTGCTCTTGGAGTTTCTGTCCTGGGAGGAAAAAGGGCAGGATGTAGGTACCTGATGGTTTTCCACACGTCAAAGCCATCCAGAGGCTTGGTGCCATTGGTGTGTCCCCCGGCCAGCTTCACGAGTGTTGGCAGCCAGTCAGAGATGTGGATGAGCTCCCGGTTCTTCACACCCTTCTGCTTTAGCAAGGGGCTTGCCACAAAGCCCACCCCTCGGACGCCTCCTTCCCACAGGCTCCATTTTCTTCCTCGAAGGGGCCAGTTATTACCCCCTGCCAAAGTCTGCCCTCCGTTATCTGAAACACAGTTAGGTCTTGGCATGAGGATGACGTTAACTCTTAAATACATTTAAGAACAGAGACTGTATGTACATTGTTAAATATGTACATTAAATGGTGCTTAAATAATAATAAACAAAAGAAAATTCCTGGCCTTTTCCCACCCTAAATTCCCTTTTCCCATTGACACTGCCTTTCACTACTCAGACATAACTAAGGCCCAGTGTGACACGTATCTACCTTTAAATCCTCCATCGAGAGGGCCACTGGAAAACAAAGCAGACCCTTGATGATATGCACTTTGGAGAGATCCCTATACTAAATAATCCACTAAACTTTAAATACACCTCTGTAACTTTGTATAGCATGGGAAAATGAGTCCATGGAAGCTGGGACCCTCCCCATACGTGAAGAGAAAACTAAGTGAATTTTACTTCGTGACTTAACGCTCCTTATAAGTGGGGACAAAAACTGACCTTTTTCTTTTCCTCTTGGAAAAAAAAATTCTACAATTTAAACTGGAAAATGAATTAACATTCCACTCCCTGGCAATGACATCTCTTTCTTAAGTGTGAAAGTTGAGTATTTCTCTAGTGGCTGATAAATGTCTCTGTAAACAGAGCACTGGATGGAAAAAATAATTGTGAAAAAAATTCTTCCCTTCTTGACATGATAGTGAAATCAAGCTTCATTATGTACAATACCAAGGAAGAGAAGCTTTCTCCTCCAAGACAACAGAGGGAATAGGGGATCTTGGCAAAGACAGGGTAGAAGTTATTAGAGTAACTGAAGTTAAGTATCTTCCCAGCCAGGTGAGGGCTCAGAGTTACACGTTAAAGTGGACAGTAGAAAAGAAAAAGTACCATTTCTTACATACTGAGGTTATAGAATCATACAAACTCCCAAAGTTTCCACATATTTAGGTGACTTTAGGGACACATTTTAAATAACACATACTTTGCATTAAACTTAAAAAACAAACAAAAAAAACTATTACCCAAATGAGCCACATGAGGGCAGTATGACAGACCTCCTGCTGTATAGGATGTTACATATAAAAATTTATTAAGAAATTAGAGATCTATCAAAGCTACAGGATGCACCTGGGAGGAAAGAGAATGAACGTTTGTTAAGCACTGACTGCACTAGGAATGACTCTGATTTTGCATTATCTCTCACCGCATCTGGAGTTGGCAGACCTGGAATAGAAGCCTGAGGCCAGACACTCACTAGCTGTGTGGCCAGGGGTGATATACCACCTCAGTTTCCTCATTTTCATGTGGAAATGACGATCCCTAATTGATTTAGTCCATTTTGTGTTGCTATAACAGAATACTGAGGCTAGGCAATTTATAAAGAAAAGAGGTTTATTTGGCTCACAATTCTGATGACTGATAAGTCCAAGCACTGGGCACTGGCATTAGTTGCTGGTGAGGGCTTTTGTGCTGCATCACAACATGGCAGAGAAGTGGAAGGAGAAGCAGGTGCAGGTAAAGAGGGACCAAAGAGGAGGAAGAACCTCACTTTATAACAACCCACTCTCCTGGGGACTAATCCATTCCCTTGAGAGTGAGAATTCACTCCTGGGAGACAGTATTGATCTATTCATGAGGAACCCGCCCCCATGACCCAAACACTTCCCACTGGGCCCACCTCCCAAGACACACTGGCAATTAGACTTCCACATGAGCTTTGATGGGAACAAACCACATCCAAACCATAGCACTACTTCATCTATTATGATGCAAGTAAAGTGACAATGCTTATGATCTTTTCTTGGCAGGGTACCTGACACAACCTAAGTGCTCAATAAATGGTAGCAACTGCTGTTGTTCTTAAAATTGACAGCAACCCAAATAGTTTAGTATGATAACCATTTTGTCACTGTTTTTAAAGGAGGTTTGAAAAAGCCAAACAGCAAATAGATGGCAATGCTAGGATTCCAACAAGGTCTGTGTGACACCCCAGGCGCCTGCCCCTGGAGCACCATGCTCCTGCTATCCCTAGTGTAGAGTGGACTCATACAGGTAGGCCACAGAAACTTTCACTTCCTGATGAAAACCACAAGTATGGTCAACCTCAGCAAAGTGTACACTCTTCCTGTGAGTGTACATAGGAAGTTATTCCAAAGTGATGGTAATTCCTTTTAGAGAAACCTTAGCTGCTGGTAGGGAAGAAATTCAAGGCTCTACTGCCAAGGAGACTTTTGGTGGAGCCCTTAACACACCAGTTCTCAGTTCTTTTTTGTGCTTCTTGAAAGGGAGTAGAGAAGAGTCTTGAGGTAGATCAGGTGAGGAAACAATTCTTCAACACATGGGTCGGTGACAATCTCATCATTTGACATCAGAGACTTACAAGAACCTTTCCTCAAACTTCCCCACAGCGCTTCTTGACAAAAACTCAAGGCCCAAACATTCACTCAGGCCAGTTTTTGAAATACACATGCCATTTCATATTGAAGCTGAGCAGACCCGTATATTCAAAACAACAAAAGGTCACCATCAGCAGACAGAAGAAATTCCTCCATGTTCATGATACTGCACAGAGTAACAGTCACCCATAACCAATGTATCGAAACTTAGAAGAAGGTGCTGTTTGTGTGATACAAAAATACACTGGAAAGAAATGCCTACACTCTTCTCATGATATCAAGAAAGGCTGAGACAGAACGATTATTTCACTCTGTTGTCTGCATTGCTATAAGTGATACTGGCTCAATACTTTAGAAAAAGCCTGTTGTCTGTTTTAAACAGATACACTTCTCTGAGATATTATGTAGTGTCCTTCAGTTGCACATGTTTGTTAGTGCTCAACAGAAAGTACTGGATGAAGATGGTGGTGGAAATAAGAGTGGAGATGATGGAGACAAGGGTGGCTGCATCTGGAATCTGATTCTAGGAGCGGCTCTTCAATTATGACTCAGATAGGAAAATTCTCTGGGTTGTACAGAGAATTTGGCCACTGTTGCTACTGTAGGAAAGGGAAGGTGTTTCCACATATCATTAGGGGAGGCCACGGATGTAGTGACTGTGACTGTTTTTGCAATTAGCTCTCTGTGATGTTTTGCCATTAGCAATAAGCGATTCTATCAACAGCTATTTTTTTCAAGAGCACTCCAAAGAGAAAGCACTGTCAATGGACACATGTGCAACTTCTCCAAGACTCTCCTGGCATAGCGCCAACCGCAGATGTGGCCTCTGGAGAAGGGCAGTTCAACCTCGCCTGTCCTTGTACCCCCACAGATGGCACCTGGCCGATGGTTGCCACTTATCAGCAACGGGGCAGAATCCACTAAGTTAGGCCATTAGTTGGTTAGCTATATGAGAAATCGGGTGCGGTCCATAAGTTCTAGTTCAGTCTCCTGGGTATTTCAAAGAGTTCAACATAAAACTGGTCGGAGTGGCAACAAGAATAAAATAAGCTCTTTTACAACAAGGTGGAAAAGGGAGTTTCCCATATTGCTCACTGAAGTTTGACAGAAATTAGAATTTAAAAAGACAATGGAACCATCAGCATTTCAAAGATGTTTCTTCTTGTTTTCCCTTCTAGTTTTATTTTTCGGCAAAAGTTAATTTCTTTCTTGTTAAGAATTCATTTTCAAGAGAAATTTTTGTTTCATTTCCTGACTGACATATGAAAAAACTTCCAAATCAAAATAAGATGACGCCGGCTCCTAAAGGAAGCAAAGAAACGTTTTTTCAGGGAGATGGTTTTGCAGCAATGTTTTGGCACAGGGAAAATCTAATTATAAGGCCTTTGCTGTATAAAAAAGAAATGTCAAAATAAGACAGACATTATCATATACAGACCGTAAATCTCACTTTATTATTCATTATTGAACAAAAATAACTCAAAAAGTCATGGAAAAACATTGGTTTGCCAAAGATCTGAGCAAAAACATTAAGTATATGACAATGAAGCCTCATCCATATCCAGCTGATAAAAATCAAGATGAAACCATGACAACAGCATTAATTTTTAGGACTACTCCCCAAACAATTTAATGTGTGGCTTGGCCGTGGACGGCTGCCCCGAAACATCATCTCCACCCCACCATCCCTGTGGATGCTTCAGCCGGGGCTTACCCTAGTCATCCTTCCCACCCTGACTCAAAGATCACAAAAGGAAAAGCAAGGAAGGCTCTAGCAGCCTCATACTAGGCCTGGACATCTCTCTGAACACGGCCCTGATGCAAGGGTGACTGACAGATGAGTAGGCAACATCATTTCAAAAATGGAGAAGTCTCTTTGTCCCATAAAAGTATCTACTTGTTGATGGCTGATTCTTTGGATTTTTTTAAATTACTGAGATGCAAACTGGAGTGCTAATATATGTCTTGGTAGTCATCTAAAGGATTCAGTAAATTCAATCTTCTCCTGCTAAAAGATTTTGGAGAAGATATTCAAATTACATTCTGATATTCTCAAATCTTCTCTCTCTCTTTTTTTTTTTTTGAGACAGGGTCTCACTCTGCCAACCAGGATGGAGTGCAGTGGCACGATCACAGCTCACTGCAGCCTCGATCTCCTGGGCTCAATCAATCCTCCCACCTCAGCCTCTCAAGTAGCTAGGACTACAAGTGTGTGCCACCACGCTTGGCTACTCTTTCCCTGTTGCACTACATTGAATCATTTCTGACAGAATGTGCATTTGGTTCTGCCAAGTTTACCTTTAAAATAGTTTTCCAATCATCCCCCCTTCTCCAGCCCATTGCCTTGGGTCAAGCACTCCTCTATCTGGGCTCCTGGGCTAATTTATATACCGCTCCAAGTTGCCACCAGAGGTGTTTGTAAAACCCAAAATCAATCAGGCCACATGCATGTTTAAAAGACCTAATTGCTTTCCAATCAGGAAAAAGTTCCAACTTCCAGCCCACATATAGAATCCCTCAGATCTGGCCCCAACCTCCTTTTTGGGCATCAACTCCTGTCCTCCCCCATAAAAAGTGCCCTGAGCTTCAGTCACGTCGAACTTCTCCCTGTTGTTAGAATATGTCATGCCCTTTCATGCTAATTTTG